TGTCTGCTTTGTACCAGGTACCTGCTACAAAGAGGAGCCTGACCTGAAGCCCTCTCCTAGATATGAGGACTAAACTAAAAATTAGCCTACATTTCATGTTGCTCAAGTCCATGGGACTGTCCTTGCCCCATCCTACTAAATCCATCCTGCTCCATGGCACTTACATGCACATCCTCTGGGGCCCTGGATCTGCCCACCTCAGTAGTCATATAAAACCCTGAATACTCACTTTGAGACCTCAAAGAAGTACTGTGCTTCTAAATTAAACAGTCTTCATCAGAAGAAAGAACATAGACTCACCAGGCAGTCAAAAATTTGTGTTCAAATCATCTGAGACTGATGACAGAAAAGCCAGTATTTAGCATTAAAAAAGACAGAACTGAAGTGGCTGTAGTGGAAGACATTTTTCCAAAAGTAATTTCCTCAAGATGCACTTCAGAAAAATAGACTAATGCACTTGTTAAATATAAACTCTCTCCTAGAAGAGTCATGATTTACATCAGTTTGTCGAAAGTTTCAAGAAGTTGTGCCTTAAAGAATCAAGTGTGTCTTCTTGTTAGCATGGGTGTTATCAACAAGGCAAGTAATGGCAAGTGTGGGAGAGGCTGTGGAGGACAAGGAACCCTCACTGACTGCCGGTGGGAATGTAAACTGGTACAGCAACTATGGGAAAGAGTGTGGAGGTTCCTCAAAAGGTTAAGAATAGAGTTAGCATATGACCCAGCAGTCCCTCTTCTGGGTATCAACCCCAAAACCTTGAAAACATTTATCTGCAAAGATATATGCACCATTATGTTCATGGCAGCGTTTTCATGGTGGCCAAGACATGGAAACAACTGAAGTGTCCTTCGATAGGTGACTGGATGAAGAAAATGTGGTGCATGTATACAATGGAATACTACCAGCTATAAGAAAAGATGAAATAGTGCCATTTGTGACAACATGGATGGAGCTGGAGCATATCATGCCAAGTGAAATAAGTCAGGTGGAAAAGTACAAGAACCATATGCCTTCACTCATAAGTGAAATATAAAACTGAAAGCAACAAAAGAACAAGCAAACAAAAGCTCATAGGCACAGACAACCACAAGGTGGTTACCAAAGGGAAGGGGGTGAGGGGTAGTGAAGGGTAAAGGGGTCAAATACGTGGTGATAGAAGATGACTTGACTTTGGTGGTGGGCACACAATGTAACATACAGATCGTGCATCATAGAAATGAACACTTGAAACCTATATAATTTTATTACCTAATATCACCCCAATAAATTTAATGTAAAGAAAGAAAACAGATGTTTGGAAACAAATGATGGGTAAGCAAACATGGGGAATAAAGTTAGTGAAACAGGGAAAAGAAAGAATCAGGTGTATCTTTTGTTAATCATGAATTTACCAAAAATTGCATGATCACATAAAAGTAAGCCCTCTAAAATCATTTTATATTGTTTCTGCTCATGTCCCTTGGATCTAGCTTATTTCTGGCACTTAGGCAGTGCCCAGTAAAATACTATTTGAATAGAACTATAGTTTCAAACCTCTAAAGAAGTACCCTCTGCAGAGGCCTGTGACGGACTGTTTTTCAGTTCTGCTGGGCTTACAAATAAGGAAGATACAACAAAACCAAAGGAAGAACTTCCCAGCAATTACAAGTTAGCAAATCCCATTTCTTGGAATTATTTACTTCCAGAACAAGAAGCAGAGAGAACAGGGTGACCTTGGTGAATGATTCTCTGTCAAGAAAGTTCAGAAAACTTTTGATTAATTAAACCACCACTGAACCCTCGCCTAGGATTCCACCCATTCTCTCTCCCCACATTTGAGCCTTTGATACGGGAAGAAAACAAACTCCCTTGAACTTTCCCAGCAGCAATTTGAAGTAACAGGCTCAATGAGAAATGAGCATTTGCAAATCCAGGGTCTGTGAAAGGAGAAAGCTGAGAACAGAAATGGAAGTAGATGACTTGCGTCTAGACCTGGACAGACAGGCCAGCTGCTCAGCTCAGAGCAGAGGCTGTGAGCAGCTACTTCCCTGTCGTGGGATAGCCCCTCTGGGCAGCTGTCCTGGCTCTGCCCCAGCTGGGCTGGGCAACCTGCCAGCTCAGCTCTTACTTCTGTAGCTTCAGAACACATGCCCAACCCAGCTCATCTGTCTGATGGACACATCTGTGTTCAGAAGCTATTCTTATCAGTGTTATCAGGTTGCACATCTGAAGGATAATATCATTCAAAAGCAATTTTATTAGACTTTTCAATGGACAAGAGTGTTTTCCTAATGCATTCTTTATTACCTTTATCAGGATTCCTTACCAAAGATGTCACTCGATATTTTCATTTTCCATAATAAAATACACAAAGTTACATTAAGAGCAGGGGAAAATAGTGTGTCTACATGTTACAGAATTTTAGAAGCAAGAGAATCTCAGAAAATATTTCTCTGTTTGTCAGAGGAGGACACGGAAACCCAGTGAAATTAAGTATCATACAGGGAGTGTTAAAGTCACAGGCTCAGTGTTTTACTAAATTCCATAAAGCATGAGGGAGGGTTCCCCAGAATAATAAACTGGCCATGTGATGAGGTGCTAAGCTGTGAATCATACAGGCAGGAGAGAGTTAACTCACCATCTCATTTAGCATCATGATCTTTCTTTTTAACTGGGAGGGCAGGTATTAAAGTCTCATGAAAATCTTTTGAAATTCTGAACTACATTTGCACAAGAGGGCAATTGGGTAAGTTTTCAGGATGCATGTAGAATATATGATCAGAGAACTTTACCATATCAGCAGTAGGGAGACAGCTGATATTTTCCAAGGATAAAAGAAGGGTAGATGGAATAGAGTGAGGGAGGGAAGGAGAGAGAGAAAGATACTTTACAACTGAGGAGGAAGACAAAAAAAAACCCTGTATTTCCTTCACCTCCTGGAAATCTTGCATACAGTCTTCATCCTCATCTTTCAGCAACTACTTATAAAAGAAGAAACATTTCTTTAAAAAAAAACCAAAACAGCAATTTTTTAATTAACAAAAAAATCTCTAGAAAGTTGCTTGTGAAGCTGCTTGGTTATTGAATGAGTCATGTTTGGTGTATAGCATGCTAGAAAACATTGAAAACATTGTATTAAAGATCCTTAAACACAGCTGCAATTTGTTGTGCATTTGCCACGAGTTTGACCCTGGGCTAAAAACCCTACATTCCTTTATAATGTAGCTTTCAACCCTTCCTTTCTTGTAGATTATCCCCATTCTGCAGACAAGGAGGTTGAGACCTGGAGGTGTTGATTAATGTGTCTAGAACTACAGCGCCACCTAGCAGCAGCGTCTGACTCTGAAGTCTACTGCACTAACCGTGAACCCACCTGTGTTTATCAGAATGCTGGCATTTTGGCCAGAACAATTGCTTCTTATGCTGAACAGTCCCGTGCCTTCAAACACATTCAGTATCTCTGGTCCTCGAGCACAGAATAGCAGAAGCAGCTTCCCATCACTCTGAAAACTAGAATGCCCTTGCATGTTGATAAACTCTCTCTAGAAGTGGTACTCTCCCTATTCCCAACACACTGAAAATAACCTTTAAGAAAAATACTGAATTTCAGAAACCTAGGGTTTGAAAGAATTTTAAGCATTCCATTCATTTACTATTTGCAATTAACTTGTACAGAAAAGAATAGTAATGAAGAGACCAAGAAAGGGCCAGGTTGAAAGGGCCAGGTTTTGTTTTTTATTCATTGACTTTCAGGTAATTCCCACACCCCAAAAAGCATAGATTTAGCACCTACTGTATACTGGAAAATATGTTAGATATTTTCATCTCTACACATAAATGAATGTGGGGTGTGTGTGTGTATGTTAGAGAACCAGACAGAGAATGATTATTTTACTTATGTTATCCTTGAAGAAAATAATGTTTATAAAACTTACCTTGTCATGCAGGAATTTTAGTTAGGCTTCTTTCCACCATACCAGAGCTACAGTGTGGATCTCCAATGAAACCGTCCTGTTAGCAGTCTGAAATGGAATTCAGGGACATGGTAAAAAGAGATCCAACTGTAGCTATAACCAAGAAATTAGAAAGAAAAGAATGAACGTGTGAAAATCAGCCACATTGAGCACACTGGAGATGTGCCTTACACAATAAATATTGTGATGAATACCTGCAAATAAATGATACGGGGAAGGAAATAGAGCAGGATCAGGAAAGAGAGAGAGGAGATACCTGGAATGGTACCACTTCACACAAAGAAGAGATTGTAGCCTCGGATATCAGCGAAGTGGGGGGTAGGATAGTCAGCCCGGCTGGATTAGTCAGGGTGAAAGTGAGTGAGGATTGGGGGGAAATATTTGGAGTTTAACAGGCTTCTTGGAGCTGAAAGTCAATAAACTGAAGATATCTCCAGGGTATGATGGATTTTTTTCATCCAGCTTTAAAAGTTCCTTGAGAAGGGAATTGTTTATTCACAAAAAGAAAAGAAAACTTTGAAGTGATTTGAACATAAAAACAAAGTGCTAAGAAATCAATCCAGAAAAAAAAAGTGCCTTACAATGATTTGTGGTATTTGAAAACAAACTTCTGAGGAATTTACCAGTGTGTGAGTTATGAAAATAGATACATTTTGGCTCCGAGCCTCTCAAGTGTGTGCTAAGGCTGTAAGCATCTTCTCTGAGATAAATGTGAGATAATTTCCCAGAGCGAGTTTTATCATCGTTTTGAGACACCGCTTCTCCAGGGGACAGGAAGCTGTATTTGCAGCCGTGGGATTTAGTTACATGGCAGGAAGACTTCCCTTAACAGGAAAAGGTCTGCTGTTTTGGAAAGACCAAGGCAGCTCAGCTCTCTGACGGGAAGGGCTCACTGCTGCCGGTGAGCTCAGCTCTGTGTCAGATACTTTGTTCTTCAGTCAGCCTCCTGAGCTAGAGCAAAGGATGTGGCTGGGTCGGAGGCGGGGACTGTGCATCTGTGTGTATATGTGCGTGTGTGTGTGTGTTCTCATTTCCGCTTCCCCTTTCAAGCTGGCAACAGCAGTGTAATGAGGACAGAGAGAAAGGTGCAATATGCAATATGATACTTTCTCACTGCCCTCACTGCCTTCCCCCTGCCTGGGAAAGGGTCGGTCCAGCGGTGGTAACTGCTTTGCCTCAAACTCAGCTCTCTACCAGCAGACAGGTGAGTGCAACTTCCACTTCAATTTTAAGGCTATACTGATTTAGGGGGATGCTGGGAGACCAGGGGAAACAGGTCAGAGAAAAATCAGGCTGTGAAGAAAAGGAAAAAGTTAAGAGAAAAATCTCCCACACCTCTGACTTCAATCTTAAAAAATTCATCCTCGCACCTCTCAGAAGAAAGGGGTCCCTTGACTTTCTTTTTTCCTTCCCATCACCAGACAGGTACTCTTTCTGGGGTCACAAAGCATGGGTTCCTTTGGTGGCCTAAATTATCAGTTAGGAATTCTCTACCTTTCTTGCCTAAGAAGTTTATCTCTGTCTTGCTGTACTCACTTTTACTGTAAACTCAATGTAACTCTCACTTTGAAAGATTCTTCAGGAGAAAAGATTCTCAGCTTCGTCGCAGGTCCCCTCTAGCGTTCGTAACTCCGACGATGGAGACTACCTGGCCTAAATCAATTTCGCTTTTTGTGGGTATGAACTTTCTTCAGAAGCCACAGAACAAAGAGAGATTGTGGCTACATGTGAAGCTACACAATGGGACAATACCAGGCCAAATTAACTGGAAGGCTCCAGACAGATAACTGCCTGTCAGGGCTGGATTTCAGCTGTGCGTCTCAGAGATGCAGAGATGAAGAGATGAATGCGTTGGCTACCTAATGACCTACACCGTCCTGGGTGGGGACGGGTTCTGTGCTTCTCCGATGTCCTTATCTCAGCTGCAGCCAGGCTGAGCATGTCACCACCTACATGAGTTTTGGGGAGGGTAGAGAGTGGAAAGATCTATACTGGGGCTTTCCCATGTCCCTATTCTGCTACCGAGCTTACCAGTCGGTAGAGGAGAAGAGGTGGGTCCCCAATATAGAACCAGGACAAGATAAAAGAGTCCCACATTAGTGGCTGACAAGACCATGAGGATTTGGAAGCGATGCCCAGGGAAGTAATAGTGACTCCGTCTGCCACAGGTGGCCTTGCAGAGAGAGGCCCAGGGACTTTCTAGACAGTACGAGGCAGAGCCGAGGATAGGAGGTTGGAGGTTGGAAGCTTTCAACTCACATGTTCAAGCTTCAGACTTAACAGTTGTTAGATTTGCGTGAGTTGAGATAAAGATCTGATGTGATTTTCCTGTAATGTGAAACATTATAAGGAAGAGAGTAAGCCAGGTCCATTATCTATTTCCACATATTATCAGAGATAACCAACTGAAAATATAACAAAGGGGCAGGAAGAGATCTAACAAAGGATTTCTTTTTCTCCAGCACCCCAGGGAGTTTACATGTTCTTTGCAACCACACTAAGAACATTTTCTCAGAACTCTGTTGGTTCTCGGAAGGTTAAATGGAATCCAGTGACGACGCATTAGGTAGTGGCCATAGAGAACCAACACAGCCGTTTTTGATTCAAGGTTCAGGCTTAGCATTCTAACAGAGAATGGGGGGAAAGTTTGGTCCCAGCTCAGATCATAATTCACAGGGCCCACTCTGGGCTGCAGCAAGGGGAAAAGATCAGACACTTCCATTTGACAGCTGACCACTTCTGTTTTTCACCTGTAGGACGAGAACAAAGTAGGCATCCCAATACCCCTGCGCATTCTGTACCCCGTGTAAGCCCAGGCCTGATGCAAAAAGGCTTAAACACAGAGTCTGAAGACAAGATTCAGATATGGTGAAAGAAAAGGAAGAATCTTAGTTCATGAGGGAAAGTGCTTCATTACCAAGAAAATAAAAATGAAGAATTCAAGATATGAATTTATAGAACTAAATGATTATGAAATCTGCTCATTTTCCCACATATTAGGCTAAGGTATCTGTAAACCAGTCCTGGTGAACTGATATTTCTTCCTTTAAGTATTTGTGTTTGTTTATTTATTAAGTTTATTGGAGTGACATTAGCTAAGAAGATTATATAGGTTTCAGGTGTTCATTTCTGATTCATGACCTGTATACTGCATTGTGTGCCCACCACCCAAAGTCAAATCATCTCCTGTCACCATATATTTGACCCCCGTATTCTGTATGGCTCCCCACCACCCCCTTCCCTCTAGTAGCCATCATACTGTTGTCTGTGTCTGTGAGTTTTGTTTGTTTGTTTTTCTTGCTTGTTCATCTGTTACTTTCAGTTTTTTATTTCACATATGAGTGGAATCATATAGTTCTTAACTTTTGGTGTCTGACTTATCTCACCATAATATTCTCAAGGTCCATCCATGTTGTCACAAATGGCATCATTTCCTCTTTTCTTATAGCTGAGTAACATTCCATTGTATATATGGACCACTTCTTCTTTATTCAATCATCTATTGAAGGACACTTCAGTTGTTTCCGTGTCTTGGTCCTTGTGAATAATGCTGCAGTGAATGTAGGAGTGCATATACCTTTGCAAATAAATGTTTTCAAATTTTGAGAATAGATACCCAGAAGAAAGGTTGCTGAGTCATATGGTAATTGTATTTGTAATTTGGGGGGAACCTCCCTCCATACTGTTTTCCATAGAGACTGTGCCAGTTTTCATTCCCACCAGCAGTGCATACGGGTTCCTTTTTCTCCACAGCCTCTCCAACACTCAGTAGCTTATTTTTGATGTCTTAGAGCCTACCAAGATAAATAAAATAGAGTGTCTCCCAACACTCAGAGCACAGGATCACTTCTTTACAAATGTACAACTTTAATATTTTCTGTAGCAATTTAAAGGCTTTTCTTAGAACTTATTTACATCCTAGAAGTAGAAGTAAGAAAGAAAAGAAGGAGAGAAAAAGGTCTTGGACAGTCTTCTCTTAGTCTTTATTCAGCTAAACTTATTTTAGAAGGGAGGGGACAAAAAGGGAGGGGGGAAAGTTATATTGACACTTTTCTTGGTATTATTTATCAGATAACATCTTCCTTTTTCCCTGAAATGGATTGAACTGCTGCCTTAGACCACAGAAGTCTCAAAATGCTCAAATGCTATCCTTGGGGTAATTTTTGTTCTGATGATTTCACAAACTGCAGTGGTGTAGAGTATAATTCGATAATAGGAAGAAGTTTTCTATGTATGAAGGCAATATGAGAGGACACTGTGGTTGGGGTATGTAGAATGGGGGCAGGGGTCACTCTGGCTTGAGGTGGAGTTGGTCCCATCACAAAGAAATGCTGGCTGTCCTCGGACTTCCTACAGCCCTTTGCAGTGGTGGCGATGTGTGTTCTGGTTGTGAATACAGATAAGATGTGGAAGGTCTTATGGGCCCCAACATGGAAACTCTGTTTCCTTTCTCTCTCCTCCCACGCTTGTTTTTACTCTCAGTCCCAATTCACAGACACTGCTTGGGGTGTAGGAACAATACAGAAAGTCAAGAAGAGAGATCTATCTGATGCATGCCCCTGAGCAGAGGCCTAGAGTGTTAAACAAAAACCTGAGGCAGAGTCTTGGAAACCAAGAGTGGCAAGAGGAAGGCTATATGACATAGAGGAAGAAGGCACATAGGAAGCATAGAGGAAGCATAGAGGAAGAAAGCAAGTTCTGAGAACTCAGAACTTGTGTGAGTTCCATTAATAATCATTAATATTCTACATGACTTCAGATAAGCCTCTCTCTTTTAGTATCTCTATCTCTTTTTGTTGCTCTTTTATTTTCCTCCACTGCAAAATGAGTGATGAGAATTCGATGATCTCTCAGATCCCTTCGGACATTAGTAAGAACGAAGGACCCAGTCACTGCATACTTCTCATCTGTGCTTAACAGCAGCTCCCCCTTCTTACCATCTGGATTTCACACACACTACTGTCCACTGCTGCCCATACTTTCCTTCTTTCCTTCTGCCTGAAAACGTTCCAGCTTAGTAAGAGTGGTTTAGACTGAGAGAAGATTGCCACTAATAATAGCTATCAGTTATCGAGCACTTGCTTTATACATCAGGGACTTAATATACAGGGTTGGGCAAAAGTGGGTTTATAGCTGTGAGTTCATGAAGCACAGAGTGTGTTCTTTTATTATTGTTTATTAATAATACATATTTATTATTAATAAATCATTATTTACTATTATTTATCACTTATTATTCTCATATTATTTTCCATAAGAACAACCGTAAACTTACTTTTGCCCCATTCTGTATATTATACAATTTTAACCCCCAGTAACTCATCAAGTTTGATATGTCATCTGATTTACATATGAAGAAACCTAGGTTTAGGGGCAGTGAGTGATTTTACTAAGGACGCATGCAGTAAGGAGACGGAACTGTCATTGCAAACAAAACTGACTCTGATTCCATGGCCCTGGCTCTCTCTGGTTTTTCTTCTCAAGGGCTGACCATCCTTCCTGAGCCTCTTAGGGATACTCTCATGATGAGGTAACTAAGCAGAGCTGATCTTTGACAGGTACAACTAATACGGAAGGCCTGTATTAGTTCTTAAATATTAAAATATGTCCACTCCAAATTATGATAAATACCCATTGTTCCAAGACCTCTGAGTGCCCACAATGAACCCTGCTTCCCACAAGGTTCCCAAGACTGGCACCGAACACTCGGTGCCTCACCAGCCATACACTGGTAGGACTCAGCCACAGGGCGGCGGCTGGTGCCAACCCTGATGGGTCTGTGCCATCCTATCACCATTGTTAAATGTTCTGCATATCACAATAATCTACAAGTAAAGTAAATTTCCAAACAGACTTTCCCTCTCAACTAGACCTTAGCTGGGCCCTTGCTGCTAATCCACTCTGTAAGGCTGAGGAAGGCAGCGCTGCTTGGGAATCACCTGGTTGGAGTCCAGAGGGAACCCTACGCTAGTAACGAAACAAGGCAGTTCCTCTCTCACCAAGACTGTCACAGCTCAGGTTGGTCTGACGTGTGGTGCAGTGTCTCCACTAATAATAGAATAAAAATAACCCAAGATCACCATTTAGATGTCAGTAGTAAATATAATTTAGGGTAAATAAAAGGAGAAACTATTTTAGTAAAATCTCCATTTCACATTACATAAACTCTCCATTTTCCCTAGTAGAGAAGAGGCAGCATAAACC